CCACTATCACCTGCCAGCAGCCACCAGCAACCGTCTGCCGATACCATAACGACACACGGTCAACAGGATCTGGCAAGTCATGCACCAATTTGTCTTTTTTTGGCTAGATCTACAACCAAAGATCTAGTCGTTGACGGCCATATCTGGCTGTTAATGACGACATATAACGATGACCAGATATCTTGGCCATCGTTTGGCTATCAACAATGACCAAATCTAACTGTCAACGACCAAAGATCTGGCCATCAACGATGGCCATATCTTGGCTATCGTTGATGGCCAGATATCTTGGCCATCGTTGACTGTCAACAATAGCCAAGATATGGCCATTAATGACTACCGGATCCACGATGGATCTGGTTGAAAAAGCCAAAACGGTGCATGACTAGCTAGATCCAATCGGTCGTGCGCTATTTTAACAAATTATGGCCACCTTCAGACAATGGTGGCTAGCTGCCAGCAATATGTGGGTGGGTGGGTGGGGGTGTTTTTTTCAGTTTATAAAGTTTTATTGTGGGGGGTGTTTAGTTAAATTAACAAACGTAAGGGGTTAAAAAAAATATTATTAGAAAATGTTATTCAGAAATGTACCAAAAACTTCTTAGAATCCTATCCTATTTTCCAAAAATGCTATTCTAAAAAACTTACCAAACAAAGCCTTGCCTTCTCTCTAGACTGTTTGGTTTGTTGAGAAATGAAGGAAAATCAGGCTTGACATTAGTCATTGGTTTTGATACCATGAGAAGAGTTTTCTAGAATCAATTAAAAGAAAACGCAAAAAATTAATGAGAAGAGAAACATGGAATTTTCATTAGCTGACTAGAATAACGCATGCTGCTCTTTTATAAAGCCGTTGATACAAAACGTTGTGTTTTTTACAAACTTTGAATTCTAACACTTTAACCCAGACAAATTACAAGTTAGTCTTGACAACTTTTCCATATTACATTTTAACCCGGACTGCTCATGAGCTTATATCTTGACATTATCTGAGGTCATAGGTTAGACGTTTGTCAATTATCTAATAGACTAACCTATGTTAATTTGATATTGTCTATTCACTTGATTACTCCAACATCCAATTCATTTCTACTAATGTGAAATCGTAATACTATACTAGGTTAAGATATGATCTCGTGATTAGTTGTAAATATTTGATGTCATACATATGTAATCACATATCATCCACTTTAAACCTAGCACAAACAAATTTGTTTACGAAATTCCCTAAAAGGTCTCATACCATTTGAAAAATACTTATATATATAGCTTAACAAGCCTATTTAATTACATGCTCATAGCTTTTATTCTTTAAGTGTTTTAGGTTAGCTTAACAAGCCTATTTAGGTGAGCTTTTGAAACTAGAATTCCTTATTATACTTAAGCACGCCCTTGTAAAACTCCTTATTTATGATGTTATTCTAATATCATAAATTTTGATTGAAAGTTTCAACCATTTTTTATCACTTCCTTTGATCCTATGGTCAAACTCCACCATTTAATGTTGTCAATTCATTGATAAAAAGGTCTATTCTCAATTCTATGATGCACATCTCAACACAAAGAAAATTTACATATATAAATAACTATTTAGAATAGGATAATGTTATACATATAAAATTAGGATCCCAACTTTATATTTTAATACATTTGACAGTTAATTTAGTAAATTAATTCACTTATATAACTATGCTATAATTAAAATGTTACCAAATAAACTGTAACATGGATTGGGATCCCAATTTTTTACATGTAGCATTTTTGTTAATTAGAACCTTATCTTAATTTGAGTGCTCTTAATCTTCAAAAGATCTTTGTCTTAGAATTCTTACATTATTGTTCAAATTAGTTTTGTGGCTACCTGATGTCGATGGTTGTGTTTGGTTTATTATTTAGAGTAGTATTTTTGAAAAAATTGAGTTGGGTTGTTATTATGAGGTAGGATTTGAAAATTAACAAAAACTCACTCTTAAATTTGTTAATTTAGATAAACACCCTATACAATAAGACATTAAAAATTAACAAAAACACCCCCACTCACCCATTAAATGCCAGCAGCTAGCCACCACTGTCGAAGGGTGGCCGAAAGTTGTTGTAATGGCGCATGACCGGCTGGATCTGGCCAGTCATACATCTATATGGCATTTTCCAGCTAAATTCATCATGGATTTGGCCGAAAAAAGCCAGATCTGTCCATATCTAGTCGTCAACGATGACCATATCTTTGGCCGTCATTGATGACCAGATCTGGCAGTCAACTGACAAATCTTTTGCCGTATATCTGGCATTTTTCGGTCAGATCCACAGTAGATCTTGCCAAAAAAAAACTAGATTGGTGCACTACCAGCCAGATCCAATTGGTAGTGTGCCATTACTCCAAATTCTGGCCACCTTCCGGCGATGGTGGCCAGAATCTGGCAAATATGGGTGGGAGGGTGGATGGAGGTGTTTTTGTTAATTTATATACTTTTTTTGTTGAGGGTGTTTAGTCAAATTAACAAACCTAAGGGGTTTAAAAATAGTTGAATTGAATTGAATTGAATTTTGAGAATATAGAAATAAATATGTGTTTTGGATAGGACATTATAGGAATAATAAAACAAACAGGCTTCATAATTTTCATGTGTGAACCCAAGTCGGTGGCATCACCAATTGACAAATCATGGACATTCACTTTTGTGAAGTCTTCCTTGCGCTGTAGCTCGAAAAAAAAATAAATAAATAAATAAATAAAATAAAATCACGTTGGGTATTTAGGCATAAATTGTTATGAATTTGCCCTCATCTTTCTCTATTCAACATCACCATTCTAAAAGCAAAAATCCTACAATAATTAAGTTAAGACTTGAACTTTGTGAATTTCAAACTAAGAAAGTCTAGTTAAGTGCCTAATAATAGCCTTTGTCTGGGGTCCATTAGGACCATTACTAATTATCAAAGACATCATTACTCTAAGTTAAAACATAATAAAATCCAAAGTGTCTCTCTTATAGCTATCTATCGATAGCATTATTGATCGATGTTAACTTCACTAAACAAAAGCTTATCTCCTTCCACGATCATTTCCTTTGTTTTTTAGTTCTAATTTGTGAATAAAGCATCAAAATGTCTAGGCTCTAGCTAGATCTCTAATTTCCTCTAAGTAGTTCAGAATGTTCTTTCAAAATCAATTAGCTCTACCATTGTTAATCAAAGTCCAGAAATATTGTTTTCAATCAAGCTGTAGATTTAACGTTTTTGGAGAATAGGGAAATTGAAGTTGTGAGTGTGGATGGACCATACCCTAATTTTAAAGTTATGTTAATAATCAAAGTGCATAAAAATAAAGAATTTGAGTTTGGTCAGTTTTCACTTTCATGATCATGAAGAAAGAAGAGAGAAGAAGACAAAGGTATAAAAATGGTGGAAAATAAAGAAGTCCCTTTACGTGAAAATGGAAAGGTAGGGTTAATTTGAGAAGATGGGTGGCGGTGGCAGTGGCAGTGGCAGACAAAAGAGGTACACAAGTTGAGCGTGGAAATGGACACGTTGGCTAATGGAAGCTGAGGTGTTACCACCCAGGTTCATTAAGTGGGGGAGCTTGAAGATAATCTTGAGTTTGTTTTTCAATACATTGAAGGAAATTTACAAAGTGAGATATGAATATTTAGGGGTCGTCTTTCTCTCCATTGCAGTACTACTGGATTGGCTTCTGTGATTGCGGTGAGGCACCACACACATCCTGATAAAAGCAGAAGAAAACAGTTATATAATCCACACATTGTGGGAAAAGATAAGGATATGATCTATCAGGTACATGTCTTCATGGAGTTCTCTTCGATTTCGATTTAATCACAATATCTTACTTTTTCACATCCCTCAATATTTGGAGGTTTCATTGGTAAATATATTGAGTAGAGCTAAAGAAATAACTAAAACAAATATGTCCCGTCTTTTATATACAAACTGACATGACACAACTCTTTTAATGGTACATCATTCATTCCTATTAATTCAGAATTTAAACAATTGATTTATTGTATAAACTCATCTATTCATTTCGTGTCACATCAATTTGTATGAAAGAATTTGTACATCTAATATTACTATGTTAAGTTTTATTTATTAAAAAATATAATAATTATTCATTAATATTTGCCTATCTTAAGCATATGTTGAGAGAATAAGAGAAAAGGTGAAGAAATATTAACTTTAATTTATCTATGTTGATTATTAAAATGATAGATACAGAATTAAGGTCGGGTGATATTTATATTTAGAGGAAATATAAATAACAATATCTTGAAGTTGCTCAATGAAACTTATCTCCTTGTGGTTGGATAGTAATAGTAAGTTCTTTTGCTATTGAGTTCAGTTAACTGTACGCCTATACTTAAAAGTTTGAATTGGGAGAGGCATTTATCAAGTTTACTGAAAAAATAATAATAATAATAATAATTGCTTAATGAATGTGTTTTGAAAATATAAATTATATTGTTCGTGGGTATAAATATCTTCTAGTTTTTTAATTGTGTATCTAGCGAGACAATTATTTAAGAGATTTCATACTGGTGATTGAATAATGTTAAAATTAATTAAAGCTGAATAATCTATGTCGGAGCTAACGTGATATGTTTTGCCTAACAAATTAATGAAACTTCAAGTATTGTTCCTCCACACCAGTCAATATCTAAATACACCTTATCCAACTTCTTTGAAAAAAATAAAATAAAAAAATTCCTAAGTGATATGACATTATTTTGTGTTACATATGAATTATGTAATTATGCATCAAGCAATAATAATTTGACCAAGAAATCATTTTCCTAAGTATTGTGCGGGGTTTAAGGAGCCTATTAAAGCCCATAGTGGACTGATTTAGCCCAAATGTTTGGGCTGGAAATGGAAGCCCAAATAATAGGTAATTACTAATTAGAGACGGGTTATTAATTAACAAGTAAAAATAGAAATTTCAGTATGAAATTATTACAATTATAACACTGCAAAAGATCATACAATTAAACTTTAACAAATGTTTTGAGTTATAACTTTGTCAAACTCTAATAAACATGATCCTACAAAGCATTCTTAATGACCATTAAACAAAAAATTAAAAATATACATAAACAAATGATCTGATCTCTCTCTTGGATATTTGGCTGTTGATTCCCAAAACAAACAAATTAAAGTGAAGGCATGAAATATTACTGTAAAATGACTTGCTTTCCCCCTAATGAAGGGCTATTATAGAAAGAAATTCACGTCTATTTTAGCCCTAGCCTTCAACCTTGAACAAATTCAACTAGTATATCATTTTATGACTAGTTGGGAACTCCAGCTGCTAACTTCGCTCTCAAGTCTTTTCGCAATATTTTCCCCGACGGAGCTTTTGGGATTGAATCCGAGAAAAAAACCCTATTGATTCTCTTGTAGAAGACTACCTGCAAAATTTTCAATAATAAATTAAATTTTGAAGCCATACTAGTACATTTAAGATATGATGATTTTACAAGCAATTTTATGAAAGTACCTGTTTTGAAATGTACTGCTTGATTTCCTCCTCAGTGATCTTAGAACCGTTTGATCTGACTATAAATGCAACAGGAACTTCTCCTGCAGCCTCATCTTTCATTCTGGATATATAAAAAATAAATAAATAAACTGTTGTTTAATGTCTTCGACGAGCATATATAGACACTAACATAACGTATCATGATTAAATTAGTATAAATAAGTATCTTCTATTAAAGAAGTTTTTTATGTTGTAAAGAAATTTATTGACTTACGGTACAACAGCAGCATCGGAGATGTTTGGATGAGCAATCAACATGGCTTCAAGCTCAGCAGGGGCGACTTGGAAGCCTTTATACTTGATCAATTCCTTCAATCGATCAACGATAAAGAGCTCATCATCATCATCAATGTAACCTGTATCACCGGTATGCAACCATCCTTCTTTGTCTATGGTTCTCTCTGTGGCCTCTGGGTCGTTAAGATAACCTGAATCATCAATATTAATTAATTCATCAGTAAATTACAAACCATAAGTTTGGTGGTCATCAATATTAATTAATTCATCAGTAAATTACAAACCATCAGTTTGGTGGTCATCAATAGTCAATTCAAATTCGGTAAAATTTGATCAAATAAATTTGATGACTCAAACCAAATCTAATTTAACTTTAATTTTAAGAAAAAATAAACAAAGATGAACGATTCAATCCCTACAACAACCATTCAGAAGTAAATAATTTAAAAATCAATTAAAGGATTTAAAAATCTTACACCTGAAAGTCTAACCAAAAAAATGGATACGGAATTGACCAAGTCATGAAAAGGGTGAAAATAACTGTTAAATAAAAGAAAAATCAAGGAAGATGGTATTTCAATAATTTCATTATCATAAGTTCTGTCAAAGTAATCTAATAAAATAAGGTTAAAATCTCATTTATAAAATCAACTAAATATTATTAAATCGTGAAACGTTTAGAGGTTCATCTTTAATTATATCTCTTACAAAATTTGGTTAATAACACGTTAATTATATTCCTTCAATGGACATTTAATAACACGTCGAGTGTATTTAAATTATAATATTTATAATAATATTAATAAAAGGTGGAATGGGAAGTGTAGTGTACCTTTCATGATCTGGGCACCTCTAATACAAATCTCGCCCGATTGATTTCGGGGAAGCGAAATACCGGTATCCGGATCAACGATTTTCATCTCGGCATTTCTCACTACAGTCCCACACGCCCCGGATTTTATCTCGAAAGGCTCCTTTGCAAATGCCAAGCACATTGCCAACACTGGCCCCGCTTCTGTCATTCCATATCCCTACACGCGTCCAATCATATTAATTAAAGACATTTTGTAATTTCATTACTATTAGAACAAATAAATCATCGATATCCTTATTAAATTTCTTTTTTGTAAAATATTAACATTAATTAAAATGTTAAATAATACATAAATATACGCTTTACAGAAATTAAATGAACCTGTTGCTGAGTCAAATTCCGATACAAAAAAAAAAATTTATTTAATATTGATCTATTTCTTCATTTATTTATGTCAATTTATAGAGTTTTTTATTATTATTTTTGTTCTTAGATCTTATTGAAGACTTTAAAATATAATAATATAATATAAAGAAGGGTAGGGCTGACTTCTTCTTGCACTTACCTACCCCACCTACCAATATCTCAAAGTATTTTCTTCAATTACACACTAAATCACTTTTATTAATTCCAAAATTAATTTCATCTATATTTCTAATTCCATTTTTAACAATTATATTTTAAAAAAATTATATGAAAATCTAAACAAATATATTTTGGCTTCTTGGTTATTAGTATTTTTTTTTTTTAAATAATTCAATTTCTTCAATCAAAATTCTAATGTTAATTAATTTGAAATAAGTTAGGTGACATTTATGGCGAACCTTATTTCTTTAACAATTTTAACTAACATTTAATTAACCGTTAATGCTCCCGCCAAAATAAAGAAATTGCTACCCACCGTAAATCCAAAACCCTCACTAAATTTCTTATACAGAATTTTCTCATACAATATTCTTCGAATCAATCTTTGAATTAAATTATTTTTAAAAAATAAATAAAATTTATGATTTATTCGAGAGGTTTTCCACAAGTGACTCCACCTAAAAAAAAACATTTTCGAGCTAAATATATTTATAAATAAAGAGTAATACTACACTTACAAAGAAATTTTATATACAAAGTGTGTGACAAAAAATGAATAGAAGAGTAAATTTAATGAGTTTGACTTTTTGTTTCACACTTCTATTCATTTTTTGTCACCTTATTTTGTATGAAAATTTTGGTAAGATTTATTTGTAAGTTTAGTATTATTAATAAATAAATAGCAAATAAAAGTCATACCTGTCCAAGTTTGGCGTTTGGGATTTTAGCTCTAACAGCATCTTCAAGCTCCTTTCCCATGGGAGCCGCCCCAGACAACACAGTCCTTATCGATGAAAAGTCGTACTTACCGACGTCGGGACTCTTCGCGATCGCCAAAACGATAGGCGGCACGAACGGCGCAATCGTCACCTTATGTTTCTGAACCAACTCTGCTAATGAAATGATCTCAAACTTCTGCATCATCAAGATCGCTGCACCAACTCTCAGCCCGCAAAGCAACACCGAGTTGAGTGAATAGATATGAAACAACGGCAATACACAAAAAATCACATCCTCCTTGTGGAAATACAGATTAGGGTTTTCTCCATCAACTTGTTGGGCAACGCTAGTGACAAGTCCTTTGTGTGTCAACATGACTCCTTTTGGCAACCCTGTCGTCCCCGACGAATAGGGGAGGGCCACGACGTCATCGGAGTTGATTTTGACGGCGGGGATTTCACTCTCGTCCGCTTGAGTTAACTCCGAGAAGTGTGACCATTTCTTGTCGGGCGGTGAATCAATGGTGATGATTTTGACGCCATTTTCTTCGGCGAAATCCCTCACTTTCGCAGCGTAAACCGTTTGTGTTATGATGAGTTTCGTCTTTGATGCCACTGATTGTTTCGCGATCTCAGCTGGAGTGTAAAAAGGATTGGCAGTGGTACTGATAGCACCGATATAAGAAGCTCCAAGAAAAGCATACACAAATTCGGAACAGTTTTGAAGCAGAAGCATTATAACATCGCCTTGGTTGATGCCGAATTTGGCGAGACCGGCACCGACTTTGCGGGCGGTGAGTTCGACCTCGGCATAAGAAAAGGATTCGCCGGTGGAGCCGTTGATGATGCAGGGACGATCACGGAATTCGGAGATGTTTTCGAAGCAGTAAGAGTGTAAAGGGAGGTGATTTGGGATGTAAATGTCAGGGAGTTTTGATCTGAAAATGAAATCATCTTCTTGTTGGAGTTGTTGTTTAGGCTCCATTGTTACAGAGAGAAGCAGAAAGAGAGAGAGAGAGAGAGAAAAGAAAGGGAAGGTAAGTGTTTGGTTTGTGCTTCCCTGGTTGGTTTGAGAATTGGTTGAGCTAATATACAAGTAGGTGATGAAGAAGGGAGCTGGTGAAAGAGTGTTGAATTGAATGGAATTGAGTGGGGATTTAGAATTTTTCAACGGTATTATAAATGAGTATGCCTAACATGGTCTTAATTATCATGCAAGGAAAATGTTAAAATAAGAAAGTTTGATATATTCAAATAAAAACAATAGAAAACTAATCAAATTCTAACATTACACATTCCTACCTAACTGTATATTGTTTTTAATTTTGATAGAGATTTAAATTCAAATTCGTTGCATAATATTCTAATTTCGAGTTAATATCATTGACTTTGAATATAATATGTGAAAATAAATAAATCATGAGAGTCTAGATGATTTTCTTTATAGCTTGTAATAATTTTCAATCAAATTATTGAAGAGATCGCAACGTGGGTAACCGCTGTAAGACCAAAAGAGATCCTACGTAAATTAATAATTAAATTCCCAAATTAAATAACTATTTATACATGGTTATTAATCATATGCTTGGTTTCACAAAGAAAACAATTATTAATACTTAAATGATAAAGTTACATTCAATTGCTAAATGAATATAAATCAATACATGACGTCAAAAGAAATAAATACTAATAATATTAACCAATATTTCTTCAAAGGGATGCTAAAATATATTGTATGATTTTAGATGGAGGTTGGTGGAGGGGTATTTTGGGTATAGAAAAAATAATGGTATGCGGGATGTCACGTTTGACTTTGAACAATCAATCATAAGCCACGTAGGATGAAACCTACCACGGCATGCTTACCTTCTCCATTTTAAGATTTTGGGGAGCTGTTCCTGGTCGTTTGGAGTAAACGACACCGCACACCTACTACAACACTAACACCTGATCCCACTTACTACATAAAAAATCTCCAATCTCCATTCCACACTATATAGATTAAAATATAAAGAAGTATTTTAAACTTTTCTTTTTACTTCTACGGCCAAATGGGCTCCTAATTTTGCTTCATAATGTAATTATATATATATATAGAGCTTGGACATATAGAATTAATAGATTTGGACAGTTGACTAGAGGGTCAGACCATGATGTCGCATAAACCCTAGTTTGAAACTTAACAGAACATACCCTTGAGAAACTACACATCAATCTCGTATGTTTGAAATCCAACAAACATACTCCCACGATTTGGCCAAGAAACCTAGCCAGACAACTACAATCCACCTAATCAACCCAAGTCAGACAAACTACCACCAAGCCACACGAAACCTAATCCACCACAAAACACCACCATTTGCCACAACAAAACCCACCACAAACAAGGAGCCGTCTGGTGAAGATGGCAAGCTGGTGAGACAGTTGCGTAGGTGGACGATATGGTTGGACACTGAAGGTGTGGGGCGCTATAAGAAAACCCGATCTGGTGAAGGTGAGGGAGAAATCAAGCCAAAAAGGCATGAATCAACATTTAGGGGTGTTTTTGTGATTTTGGATACAAAATCTTCAAAAAACAACAAAAATGGCGAAGGAGTTGATGGTTCTCTACCGCACAGTTGAACGTGATTCGGCACTGTTTTGTCGATTCAACCGTAGGTCAATTGGATCAATGAGCGAAACTAGATTTAGAGTGTCTTCGAACTAGAGAAGAGGTCGTCCGATCAGACTGGTCGAACCGGTCGGTCGGGTCTGGGTTTTAAACAAAGGTTTAATCAAATGATAACCTACATCCACATGATATAAAAAATACAATATTACGTGTAACTTTTTGTATATAAGTAATAAAAATATAATAAATTAAAAATGAAATTAGAGTGTCAACATAATTAATGAGGATGATTATATGGCATGATAAAATTAACATATATAATTATTTATTAACCAATTGTATAGTTGTGCAATTGTCATTTTTTTTTTTTTTTTTTTTTTTTTTTTTAAAAGTTAAAAGACATAAACCATTTTAAGATTTGATTAATAACAAAAATCTCTTAGGTTTCTAAAATAACATAAATCATTTTGTCGTTAATAAATCTTAGTGAGCCATTAAAATTTACACTGGTATTAGTATTACTAATTACCCTCCTTTTTTTTATTTTAACACTCAAAATTTTAACGGTAAAGGATTCATGTTATTTCTGAAAAAAAATCTGGGATTTTGTTATTTTATCATACCTGAAGGGGATTAATATCATTAACTCTTTCTAAAACATTAAAGATTTTGTAATACAATTTTTAATTAATTTTCATTTGTTCAATGTTTGACATTATATTAACTATAAAACGAGTTAATTCATAGTTAAACAAATTGCACAAATTAATAACCACTTTGGGATCTAAAAGTCAGAAAGTGAAACTATAAAAAAGGCTGCAAAAGGCACTTCCTGTTGAGTAGGAATTGGATAAACAAATAAATTAGGCATGAAATTGAAGTGGTGAAAGCATGCATGGATAGTTATTTGAGTTGAATGTTAGAGCTGCGTACCAATTAGTGACCTAATTATACATATTTATATATAGATCTTTCTGAGCAATTCACAAGAAGTTTATTATTGAAATTTGACTCTTAATTTCTGTTAAAAACAATTTAAAAAAAAAAAAAAATTTAGGGTTATCTTTTATCACACTCCTCGGTTTTAAATTAAAAATAGTTTTAAAAGTAGCCACGTTTGAAAGAGGATTATAAACAAAGAAAGAAATTCGATATGTTAGATGCAAATGTTACATCAAATCTTGTATTATATTTGACAATTTGGCTTTTAAATTCTAAAAAAAAAAAAAAAAAAAACCCATTTTAGTTAATGATCATATAAATACAACAATTATATCAAATGGGATATATCCAAATAAAATAACTTCAGCTTGAGTGTTGAGCCTGAGGTGTTACCAACCACCAAATCAACAAATATTTGACTAGAAGAAGTCTCTCTCTCTTTATACAAAGACAAATAAATTTGTAATGAGTGAGCATTTGATTTTGCTTTTATGTTTTATCTTCATCGATCTTAGTTCTTTTTTGTAGGTTGGCAAATGCAAGCATCAAATTAATTGCAGGCCTCCAATATTCTTCTGAAGACCAATATATATATATAATATATATATCAACATTGCTTTCTCACCCATTTACTTCTTTCCTTGTGTGGCCTAGCAATTTGATGTTGACTTGAATCATCAAATCATATGCAATGTAAAATGTCATCATTATCACTTCTTACTTATTTCTCTAACTCATTTTTGTTAAAATGTATATAGTACCCGTACTATACATATAATCCCTGACTATATTTATATACAAAAAAGATAAGAAAAAGTAAGTAAGGTAGCATTACTCATAATAAAAGTACTACTATTGACATCATGTAGAAATGGTAATATTATGCGTTGCGATGTAAAAGTTAATATCAACGACATTGTGTCTGTGTTGAGAAAAGAGTGACAGTAAAGAACAAAATTCTTGTAGTTGATTATTTTTTCTAGACCTTTAAATTATACTTAAAAATTGATTAGATTAAATCAATGATTCAAATTGAAACTAACGTTGTTTTATAATAACATAATAAGGCTATGCTATATAGAACATATGGTAAACTAACGTTGAAACTTGAAAGAAATAGGGCTCACCATACTTCTGTAAAGAGTTTCAACACCAAATAAATGAACTGACCATTCTCACCTACCACAAGTCGTAGTTCAGTTTAGACTTTTTCTTGCTGTAGTTGAGATGAAAATTAATCAAATATTCAATGTTTTGCTTATTTAAACATGCAAAAGGTGAATGAAAATGGAACCATCACAAATATTAACAAAGAAATGAAAGAAAAAAAAAAAGGCTTCCATCTTATCTGATCATTTTGTCAAATCTTTTACCGATTCTCGGATTTCTTAAGGGGATTATTCTTCTAGGAACTTTATATATTTTATTATATATTAAGAAAAACATTTTTTGCACTTTATTAATATTAAATCTATCTTAAAAATAAAATTTACGTCATTTTTCTTTTAATTTTAAAAAAAAAAAAAAAGCCCTCTATCAATTATTCAATGATTTAGACGTGATAACCTTAGTTGATAATATAACTTAAACCTCATTTTACATTTATTATTTGATCTATAGTTATGTCACAAGCATGAAAGAACATTGACTAAAAGAAACTATGAATTAAAGTCATATATGTTTCATATGTCCCCACACCTACATGCTACCACCTCCCGTCAAACCTACCATCCCCATCTTATATATCCTTATATTCAATTTCGATGGCGATTCAGATACAAAACTTAATTAGAATTTTTATTTAATTAAAGGTTAAAACATAGACCTAATAGATATAATAATAAAAATTCGACTAAAAAAAGTAAAAATTTACTATGATATAAATTAATGAAATTAAAATTATCCTCCTACCGTTTATATACACTTAAAATTTAACGATACGGAGATTTTTGTTATTTCTAAAGCCTCAGAGACATTTTTGTCATTTTATCATATACTCTCAAGAGATTAATGTTATAACCCTATAATTAAAATACAAAGGTCATCAAAGCACCGGTATCGTAGTGCCGTATTGGAACTATCAAATAAAAATAGTGAACACCTAGCCTCATCATCAGCTTTAGCCATCAAACAGCAACAGTTAAAATCCTGAAGCATGCTGGGTCGCTGCTGACTATTTGCATCTAGTTCTGTTGAAGAAGTTTTCAAATGTTAGATTAAATCAATCCCTATTTATTGCAATCGCTAAAACTTTCTCATATATGTTTGTTCTGTAAACTATCTATATGTACAGACGAACGCAAACAAATTTTATGTATACAATTGATAAATCATACAAAGATACATCAGAATCAAGTTTTCAGTACGCTACCACAAGAGCTACCTGGATCAAGAGTTTCCGGAATCAACTTTCCAGCTCAAGTGTAGCAGAAACCTAAAATAACCTGGATCATATTTTCTATGGAGGGCATCATCCGAAAGAACACACATCTCTATTCCACATTACATCTGAGAGAGCAGGGGAGAAGAGAAGAAAAATCGTAATCACAGAAGTGAACTTCAATAATGTGTTAGAACTAGTTGCTACAAATATAACCAGAATCTCAACAAAAGTAATTGCATGCGTTTATAAAGCTGCAAAAATCCAGAAATAACCATCAATTATATCTCATAATATGCAACAAAAAAGTAGTACTGCTATGATTATCAAATTTTCCAAAACTGGGTTCAGTTTCCCTACCGGTGCTCAAGAATGTTCCATCAAGGCATCGCTAGATCTTTCAGTTTTCCAGTATGAAATCCGTAAAGCATAACCCTTCTTGGGTATTTGAAAAAAGAAAAAATGTAACAAGTTCAAAGTATTGAATTAATTTTAAGTTGCTGAATTGGGCAGAGTTGGTTCCACATCAAGGCTTGAGAGCAAGAGCAAGACCCAACTTGGGAGCAGCATTAATGGTCTTTGAGTCGTATTCTGCGGAAAGGGTTACCAGTGACTTGGGTCGCCATTCTCGCTGGCATAGCATTGCAACCTTCCCGCCATCAGACAATCGTGTTTTTACAATTGTGAACGGATCTACGACGTGAGCACTTCCAATAGTGAAACTGTTTTCATAGGTAGAAAACCTATGAGTCATTTCAGCAGCAACTGAAGTGAATGGATTCACAGCATGTACATAAGATGCTTTAAGTGACTGTCCTTTATCCGCCCTAAACGGAAAAACATGAATCACAAAATTTAGAGGCAAGACATAGATAAAAGAAAATAAAGAAATAAAATAGAAGGGGAAATGAAAGTGAAACAACTGGCTTAACCAAATGAACCGTACCACAGCTATTTTCGCATAAGTATGAAAATCCAGTCATTCTATTAAAGTCGAGCATAGCTATAATGTAAATGAGAATTCTTTAATTCTAAATAACTGCTAAACACAGTGAAACAAACATACAAAAGAAACTTTATAAATACATTTTTCACAGATATACTTACAGTACAAGTGAAGCAGAGAAATCAGGCTTGTTCAAGCCAATCCCAGCATTGTACTTGGTGAATGAAGCAGAACCAGTATCAAAACAAACTTCACCACCCACAACCAGTTCTTTGCTTCCAATTGCTGCAGATAGCTCCAAAAGAGGAGTTGGATTCAGGCCAATACTAGAATCAATGGCCGCATGAGGATGAAGGTACTGCACATCTAACTGGGAAGTGATGCAATAAAATAGTCAGAAACTATTTTGACATTCAAAAAGATTACTTCTAACATAATATGTTCTGTATTTAGCTAGCTATACAACAGAATACAAATATTGTGAAATAAAAAGTAAATGTTTCATTCACAAACAATAAACTAAGAGAACCTTTTCCTCAGGTAAAATTAATATAAACCAACACATTAGAACCAAGAAGCAGGGTTAAGTAAAACCACACATCATATAAGATGAATTTTCACTGGACACTTTCACATTCCTTAATTTTTTCTCTGTATCACAAGAACAAATATCTGGATAATGGACATTATAACTACAGTGGGTCAACAGAAGCCAACATATATTGCAACAGGCAATGTGCAAGCACACCAATTCAAATCTTGTGAGTTGCAAATTCATGGACAATTGGCATTGATTGGACCACAACTCAAGAAAAACTCTAGGAAACCTAAACAGCTTTTTCTTTCTTTATAAGACCTGAAAGGCAAATTAAAATTTCAAACATTTAACAATTATCATTGAAGACACTATTCCAGCTAAAAATAAGTCCTGAATTAAACTAAGGAGATTCAATCAACTAGTTATTCCTTCCGGACTTTTTCTGGCAGTATCTTCATTTTCATATCCTCAATGTCTACCACCAATCAAAGTCAATACTACAACTAATTAAGAACCTTTGCAGGTCTCTGAGACTGAACCATATGGAGATTAAAGATTGTTGGCAATTAGAGACGAAATTGAGTGACCATCTTCCCCCCCAAAAAAAAATACATAAAATATTTTTTATAGTTGTAGGTAGCATCAGCCTTATAATTATCTTCTCTGAAAGTAGGACTAAAAACGCACTCACCTTGCCAGACTTGTGATCTGGTATTTTGAAGCTAAATGCCGCTTTGGTAGATGGCAAGATATCAATCAGAGTCACTTTTGTTGATACCTAAAAAAACATGTGAAGGTTATTGAGAATATACAACAAAGATTCATGTGATGTCCCTAAATAATGAATAACTAACTGTGCATCACTAAAATAAAAGCATGAATACGCATAAAATCTCAATTGTCATATTGATTTATAAGTGACAAAAATAGGTTCTAGCGACAAAATTTTCTCTTACATTAGAATATGTATCAACTTTTACATCCACAATAGTATTTTCACCCTTGTACACACTATTAATGTCACCAGTGAAAAATTGGTCCTTCTTCAAACCAGTAGCTGTAAGTCCCTACAACAAAAAATATAAATGGGAAAGTTAGATGACATCTCAACCCAATTATTTTAATACTGTTTTCTGAAAAAGCAAATATATCAAGAATAATTAACAGAGCATTTTCAATAACATATAACTGCTTATGAACAAAATTAACAAGAATTGAATATAGTTAAATTGAAGGGAGATTTCCACATCTAAGGGCTTTCATTTTCAAGATATAGATAACTATAAATACTTCAAAAATGAATTGTGGATCAACCATATGCTTATTTCATCTTTACAAAGATTAACATTCTTAATTAATTTCCTCCATCTTACACTACAATAAATTTCCATGATAAATGCCGAGATGTAACTATGGATGCAGGGGGCAAAGATGCCAGTTTCTTTAGTTCAGAAGGGAGAAACGTGACCAGAGGCAGAGTAATCAAATGGTAACCACCTGCAAATTAATCTAGATACAACACACACACACACACAGAGGAGGAAGAGAGAGAATTGAGCTACGAATTACTTGCTCCACCAAATCTGTCTGGGTACTTGAGCTTTCAGGAATCTCTAATCACAATAAATAAACCTGGCTCTAGTTATTGAGATTACTACAGGAACAATTTTTATCTTACTATATTTGTGAAAGTTATCAACTAGTTCAGTCAAACAGTGCAAACAAACAACAGAATGTTGCAATCCGAAAGGAACAACTTAAACATGAAAGTTAAAGCAGGCAATACCAGTCCAGTAGTACTCGGCAATGACAGGGTAAACTTGTGGTCGAAAGTATAATCTTTGTTCAAGAGGTCTGCATATGATAACCAAACAGGTGAACAACTAGATTTGATAAAAACAAGTATACAGGTAAAAATTCAAGGTAACCTACTCTGTATCACATTAAACAATAAAAGATTAATAAAAGAATAGCTTTCATGTGGATTGGAAGCCACTACAAATAACAATTTAGCATTAGAGGAGCCTGATAGGTCTGAAATCAAGCAATTGATTATAACCCCACGGGTTACATAAAAATATTTCCACTTAAATAAGACCATCTATTCAAAAACAATAAGAATTCATTTTTTCTTTAAGAACCCCAATATCCCTCAATGTATGCAAACACTCTGAAACTAGAGACTACTCCCAGAATATTCTGAATACATTCAAATATATTGACAATGATGTCAGTCTTTCCATCTATATAAATGTCGTCACTTCCCAGGAATTTAATAATGGGTATTTCAGAACAAACTAATTGCATATCCCACAACAAACACAAGCACAATTGCAGATCTTCCAGGGCTCCAAAATTTTGAAATTGCAAATTTTCCAGGGCTCATATAAACTTCTAACTTAAATAAGACCATGAATGAGTAAACAGATCAGAAATTTGTGTTTTTCTGCATATGAAAACTCATTATTCACACAAGAATAATAAGACCACTTCCTCATTTTCAAATGTACCTAATTTAAACCGGATCTCTAAACCCTAAACCATAAACCCTACATGGAAACACCCATATTCAAGTAAACATAACCACAAAACAAACAAAAATGTTCATCTTAACAGCACACTCCTCGTTAATTTGGTTTAAAATAAAAATTCCTTCACCTTCGCCTAATTACAAAACGACCTTCATAATTTCAAAAAAAAAAAAATTAAACCTTCATTGTAGTTCAAAATCATTTTCAAAAACTCAGTGAGATCTACATAAATATCTCTCACCTTTGGCTTTCTTGCCAATATCGGAAAACAGCGCCGGATTGCTGCTCATCTCTATTCAGAAACGCGAAGAACACACTCTGCGAAGCTCAAAAAATATATAGCACAAAATCTTTACCAATACTCTCGAAACTAAAAGCTCCAACACGATAAGACGAACACAAGTGTTTGACTTACAGTGAAGAAGATGAGCGGCTTTTCGGACCGATTCAGTCGAGAGGAGACGAGATGAGCCGAGACAGATATTTGTAAAAGGCGTGTGTTTGCTAAGGTCGAGGTGGAGGTGGAAGTGGAGCAGCGATTAGGTGACAGCAAGTGGAGAATGACAGCTCACACGTGGAATTTGAAGGGAGCTGAGCTGTTTTAGGTGACGGTTTTTATTGGATGGCTATGGGAAGATGCGTCACGGTTGGGTGAGGTTAAGAACTACGAGAAAGCCACGGGTTATTTGTTAAAATGATGGTTATGTCCTGGAGTTGGTGGCTTATTGGCTGCTCCACTTTGCCCACACGAGGGATTCTAGGGTTTTGCTTGTTTTCAACGTGGATTTATTTTTCCTTTTCTTTTTTCAGCTTTTTTATTTTTTTAATCCATGTTTATCATAATTAATTTATGACTTTAATTTACAAGCTTTAAATGAAAATTTCACGAAAATACGAATATAAAATATAAACGAAAAAAGGACCATTATACAGTATGTCACAAATAATACATTTTAATAATATTAAATTAACGCGATAAAAATATTTCTAAATGTAATTATCTAATTATAATAATGTTATATATCACAAGTTTCATACCTCGATAAGTTTTAAAATTAAATTAAAAATTATTTAGTATTATTAATTTCAAATACATACTATTATAAATTTCAATTTATTTTTTGTATAAAAAATAGAATGAAAAAAGAAAAATATAAGGTAAATAGTATAATTAAAAATTAGAACAGGTCTGACTTTCTTGGGCCTCCAATTGGGCTGGAAGGTTGGGTTTTGGGATCTCTATTTACGGACGTATTACATTACATGCCTATTTGTTTTATTTTTTATTTTTTATTTTTTTTAAGAAACAGGAATAAAGTTACATAATGAGTGATATTAACAAATGAATAAATTTCAATTGATTAATGAACAAATAGGAAGTGTGACAATAAAATTAATCCTCATGTATAATTTGAATCCTCAAGTGAAATAAAAAATACAACAATTGATGTTCAAAATTAGATTGTAATAATGTGTCGGTACATTAATTAAACTCTACATCAAAAGAATAAACAGAATATAATGAATTAGGTTACCTCTCTTTGGCATAATAATTCCCAAATCAAGGTATGTGATATAACTTAGAATGCTTCAAATTATCAGTGACATTGAAATACTTCAAAGTCTCAATCCACTTCTCTTGATTCTTCAACAAATGCACAGCAATGGTATCCGGCCAAAGCTCATGTGTACATGTCGTCGGCGGCACTGGAAAGTTGTACATCGACCACTTAGCATTGTACCGATTTTTCGCCCGATGTCCCTCCCGGATCCAATCCCCAAATATCTTATCTTCGGGCCCTTCAAGATGATTTTTCGGTATATCGGAAACCCTAACCCACTCCACAATATCCCAAGAGACCAAATACCCCATTCCTGACATGTAATGCACAAAAGGGTCCATGCTAGGGCATGGAATAACATAACCATAATATAAATCTTCTCTAGGCAATGGCTTCAATGAATTTACTAAACTTTGTAGCCTAAAATAAGCATCATCATCACCCTTCATAACATAATGGTAAGGAGGATTAGNAATAATGTGTCGGTACATTAATTAAACTCTACATAAAAAGAATAAACAGAATGTAATGAATTAGGTTACCTCTCTTTGGCATAATAATTCCCAAATCAAGGTATGTGATATAACTTAGAAGGCTTCAAATTATCAGTGACATTGAAATACTTCAAAGTCTCAATCCACTTCTCTTGATTCTTCAACAAATGCACAGCAATGGTATCCGGCCAAAGCTCATGTGTACATGTCGTAGGCGGCACCGGAAAGTTGTACATTGACCACTTAGCATTGTACCGATTTTTTGCCCGATGTCCCTCCCGGATCCAATCCCCAAATATCTTATCTTCGGGCCCTTCGAGATGATTTTTCGGTATATCGGAAGCCCTAATCCACTCCACAATATCCCAAGAGACCAAATACCCCATTCCTGACATGTAATGCACAAAAGGGTCCATGCTAGGGCATGGAATAACATAACCATAATATAAATCTTCTCTAGGCAATGGTTTCAATGAATTTACTAAACTTTGTAGCCTAAAATAAGCATCATCATCACCCTTCATAACATAATGGTAAGGAGGTTTAGGCCCATCCGAGCCGTTGAAAATTTCAGGTAAGCTTGAAAAATAAGTGTACGTTTTGCCCTTGTTCATATTCTCTTTGCAATTGAGAATTATTATATCATCATAACGCATTATCTCCAGGGCAACGAGTACCTTTTGATCTTCCTTTGTTAAGTTGCAGAACACAAACTTGACGTCAACTCGTCCCCCCACCGGCGTCTGCGTGCCGTAGATCATACGCAAGAAGTGGCGGCGGTGATACTGATCCGGAAGGGTCAGAATTCCGATGAGAATCCTAATGCCTTCGTCCGATGAAGAAGAATTCTTCGTTAGAGTGTCATTACTCGGTAACGGAGGTTCATCAGAACGCGAAGATGTAGAAGAGTTTATAATGGCGCATTGACCGAGCTTCAATAAACTATCGAATCGAAGCTCATTAATGGAAGCTAAGACGCATAGAAACACAATGAAGAAGAGAGAAGAGAGGATGAAATGTCGCCTGTTGTTTGAGCTTTTCATAGTTGTAATGCAAATGCTTGAAGAGGGTTATGATGGGTTTGGTTTAATATAATGAACAGCAATGGAGAAGCCTTTTTTGAATGAGAAGTGATTATAGAAAAAAGTACTTTTTCTTAGAGGAAAAGCATAAGCCAGATGGTCAGTTTCTTTGTATTTAGACTAGCGAAGTTAATTACTTTGACTTTTCATAAGCATGAAGAAAGGTTTGATTGAGTGATGGGGGGAGAAGCGTGAGTGAATGGAGGAAAGCATGAAATTATATTAAGTGAATGTACCATTTTGTCCCTTATTTTGTGTAGAGGCAACATGATTCCTGAGTTTATGCTGATTTTATGCGAATTGAAGTTAATTAATTAATCTAAGTTTATATTAATTACAGGTTTAAGAATGAGTAGACTGATTTATTTTTTTAGATTGCTTTAATTAATTCATTCATTTTTTTTATAAAAGAAATTTAGTTGATGTTATCTTTATAAAAGAAATATTAAAAATATTGTACCTTTTCTTAATCATTTATGACTTTAATTTACAAATAATTAATTTATAACTTTAATTTAAAAGTAATTTATTATCAAAGTTAAAATGTATTAATAATAAATTCTTTAAATAAAAGAACTTTAATTAAAAAAAAAAATGGAAACTAACCCTTAAAAATCATTTGCTTTAATTCTAAGGAGTTTTTTGTCATTTCAAGATATTTTCTTTTTTCTCCCTAACTTAGTGGGATAGTAACCCCCATGTAGAAAAAAACAAATCAAACGTGGAAAGAAAAGAAAAGAAAATTTTTAATGGAATTAAGCCTAACGTTGCCTACAATTTATCTGTTTCTTTATTAGCTTGGTCAATTATTATTTTATTTTTAATTAGGTATTTCAGCATGACATGGGTACTTCCAGTTTCTGCTCACCATCTCTGAACATAAAGCAAAACCCATTGACCTCTTAAAGCTACTTTTTATAGTGATCCAAGAAAAAATTTCAGAGTTTTATTAATATTTTAATCTATAACCAAAGATGAATAGAAAAAAAAAAAAATATGGTTGAGTTACAAAAGGCACAACTCAATATTAATTTTGTTTCAATTACTTTTTAGTGTGTGACTAAGTCAGATGAATGACCATTGATTATAACTGCTGGAATTCATGTAATAACATATATTATAAATATAAATTTGAAATTAAAATCATTTAATATATTTTAAACTTTCATTTCAATTGTACATACTACAGATCTGGATTTATAAATCAGATTTACCAGAAGGAGCATTGGAGTCTGAATGCTTTTGAAATGGGTAGTGTTAATTAAGCAATGTCAAAAAGCCTTCTATTATCACCACTGCTGCTGCTGCTCCAATTCTCAAATTCTGGAGTTAAAAAGTACAAGAAGTTTCAGGAAATCCTGGCTTTTTCCTGCTACTGTAGGTACTGTTGCTTTGCCCCTAATTACTTATTTACAAACCCACAATCAAAACATTCTACTTCCGGTGTCGAACATAGATCAATTAGACACAAGACACATTGAAGCAAATGCTTCTATAGAAATTAAACATTCAATATGTATACCTAATTGTACCTGTAGTCTGAAATTTAACAAATGGATATTGGATACCCATTTTTACTAGTTTCGCGTAGACTGCGATTATGCAAAGAGTTTTAAAAGCTGCATTACCATTCTCAAATGCCATCAGTGTAGGGTTCACTAGAGAGAAAGAGCAAACATGGCACTTGGTTCAAGTGGAGAACAATGAATCTCTGCTGGAAATCTTCTCCAGTGCTTTGACAGGATGAATTGTAACACAATAAAACAGTTCGAAAGTCGTTTCTATTTAAATAGGCACAATCTAATCGTTTCATCATCGAGAATTAAGTATTGAAATGATTCCCTTGATCCATCCTTCAAAATCCATAGAATCTAGTCAATGTGACTATGAAATTAAAATTCATTGAAAGTACATCTTCACTTGAGTGCTTCAATCAACAATCCATCCATAATAAGAAGAAAATAAATAAACAAAATTCAGAGTGGTTCCAACATATCTCTTCCTCCAAGCAAGATTTCTCCATCTATTCCATGAGGTTCTATCAACTTTTACTTACGCCTGGATAGGACATCCTTCTTTCAGCCATAGTAACAAGCTTGATCTGCTGCAGTCAACTCTGATTAAGCAAAACCTAGGAAAAAAAAAAAGCACTAACTAGAGTAATGCTTTCTCTAAATAAATAACTTTTTCAGTTTCCTCATTTAAAATAATATAATTGATGAAGGCACCACCAATATAATCAAATACACTAGATTTAAAGACAAAAAGAATATAACTGCCTTTCCATACTCGAAAAAAAAAGAAAATATTATTGGTACATCTTGTCAAATTGGCAGACCTCAATTTGTTGTTCTTATTATTTCAGGAAACTGGTTGTTTAAATTTCCTTTTAAGATAAGCAAGCAGGTGGAAGAAGTAGAAGACTAATTCTAGTCAAATGAAAAACTCTATGTATTGCATTCAACTCATCCACCTATATAATTGACAAAAAATGGCACACGTCTCATTACCTTCAAATTCAGAAGAAACGAGCCTGTATTTTCAGTGTTCCAAATTTTGATCTTCTCAAGACAATTTTGGCATGTGCTGAGCAGTATCGGCTGGAGCATGATCCTGCTACAAGCTTGTAATGTTCAAACTTCAACGTCTCACACTTCAAGGCAGCCTCCTTACAGGCCTTGATCTCCCACTTAGATCCAATAATTAAATAGATGGGCAGTTTCCAATACTTCTAACCATAGTAATTGCAGACCAAACTTTCTGGTAGTCCTCCCTAGAGGCTCTGATGATACAAACTTTTGTTATATGATTACATATTTGACTTGAAATGACCCAAGCATAGAAGCTAAACAACATCTCCAAAGTTGACAAGAATATATCTTTGATTGCTTTTGACACATTAAATTGGGTAAGTATAATGGGATCACCATCAAGAAGCTCTCTATTTGGTCCAAAAAGACCTCCATTACATATACCTATTTTAAATCCCACCATGATGCTTCGTTGGGTTGCACTTTCTTAAATAAACAAAATTTGAGGGAGCTCCCAACTGTCTTTGTTGTTGATTGTAACTGCGAATCCAATCAAATACTCTTCAATATAAATGAATTATTTTTAAAAAAAATAATCACAACAGTACATTTGTAACTTTAAACTAGAATTTAAAATGAATATATCTATAATATTAAAGGTTCAATGCTCAAGTTATTGGGTCATGCAACAAGTAGGAAAATCCCTTACCCAAAATAATACCCCAGTATAAACAAACAGATAAATAAGGAATTGATAGTTAAAGTATACATGTCCAAATTCAAGATACCCTACTCTGTATCACATTAACAATAAAAGAATAACTTTCATGTGCACTGGCAGCCACCACAAAAACAGTGTAGCATGAGAAGCCTGTGCTACTGATGAGCAACCAAAGGGAAAGGTTTACGTAGGAAGAAGTGGAGTAAGAAGCAGGGGAATAATTGACATGTAGGAGGTTAGAAGAAGTTGTTAGGAAGGGACAGGTGGCCTATGGAGAGTGGAGAGAGAGAAATTCTGTTATGAATAAACTTAGGTGCCTGGAGAGAATAAAAGGGGAGAAGGGAAAAGGCGGGGCATTGAAAAAGTTGATTAAGTTGGATAGGGGAGGATGACTGACCCTCGCAGTCAGTATTACATTTCTGTTTTCTTCTGTAGTTTAGCTTAGTGTTATTTACTGGATCATCAGTTGTGGTTACTGTAGCAGAGATGAGTATTTCGGATATATTGTTTTGTTGCCTTAATATAGAGAATGCTTGTTTTGATTGGAGTGGGACTGGAACTGTAACTGATTGTAGTGTATTTGATAAGTTGCAGGTCAGGATCTCATCAGATACTGTCTGAAATCAAGCAATTAAGCATTAACCACCATGGGTAGCATCAAGATGTTTTCACTTAAATTAGACCATCTATTTGGAAACATGCCAATCATTTTTTTCTTTAATAAAAAGAATACCCCTGACATAGCACCCAGTCCGAACTGGAGACTACTGCCAGAATATTCTGAAAGCATTCAGATACAATGGCAATGATATACTGTCTTTTGTCTATAAATATCGTCACTTAGGAAAATCTAATAATACTATTCAGAACAAACTAATTACATATCACAACAAACACAAGCAATCACAGTCATCATCTCAAAAATTTGAAATTGCAAATTTCCAGGACTCAAAAACTTAGAGATCATATTAAATTCTAACTGAAATAAGGGCATGTTTACACCACGGATAAGATAAATAACAAGCATATGTTTCCTTTGCATATGAAAAATCTATTCACCTCTACTAGGCAACAAAAATAGATTTCCCAGCATATCTTCACATCTCCCCACCAACCAGCCTCTATAAATAGATAAACCCAGCCCACTAATAAAAACATAAGAACCAGTTATCAAGGTTCAGTCATTTAAGTTGTATATTCTCTCTCATTTTCAAAGGTACCCCATAAAATTACTTAATTTAAATAGAAGGTTCACACGTAAACCTAAACTAAATTCTAAACCTGAAAAGAACAAAATATTCAAGCAAATAGAACTACAAAACAAACAACAATGTTCATCCAACAGCACACTACTCATGGTCTTTAGTTCATAAAAAGAAATATTCAGCTCACTAGTTCGAAGACGGTCTCCAATCAAACAAAATTATAAAGCTTCATTGTAGTATACAATCATTTTCAAAAGTCAGTAATATCTAAGTAAAACTACTCAGAAACGTGGAAGAACAAACTCTGCGAGCCCAACACGAGTTAAAAGGAAGACAAAATTTTATACAATGAAGAAGAGCGCCTTTTCGGACCGATTCGGCCGAGACGGAATAGACGAAACGAGCCCGACAGGTATTTGTTAAAAAATGTGTTTATTAAGGACAAATGAAAACACCCGCGATTCAGCCAGCTTTTAGCCTAATATTGTTGGATTGCCTAACGAGAACCAAGCGAGCGAGAGTTCGGCCAAACTTCCGTCAAGCCCGTAAGTGATTTCAATCGAAGCTAGGGATTGAAGAGTTTCACCGTCTTTGATATAAAACGGTGACGTCTACTGCATATTTTAACTGCTAGGGATGTTATCTCTCACAACTTGGACTTCGTTTGGCTCAAGTCTTTTAGTATTCCCCAATAAAGTTAAAGAAAACTATCCAAAACTCACAATATATTCAATATTATTCAACTTTTTTAAACCTCCAAATTTGTTATTTAATTAAATACCCCTAAATATTTTTTCAAAATTGCAAAAACACCCGTAAACCCACATTAACCAGATTCCGGCCACATTGTCAAAAGTTGGCGGAACATTTTTAGGATGCACATATGGTAGATGGTACTGTAGTGCTGCGATCTAGATTTTTTTTCGACAGATCCACGGAGGATCTGGCTGGAAAAGGCCAGATCGAAGTCAAGATTTGGCCGTTGACAGCCAGATCTTTCTCCTGACCAGTCCGTCAACGACAGCCAAATATGGTCATCGTGACCATCAACGATGGTTGGATCTTTGGCGTCATTGACAAGATCTACGACAGATCTAGCCGTAGATCGATGGATCGGTCGAAAAGGTCATATCGGTACACGACCGAAGATCCAGTAGGTCATGCGCTGATACGGACGACTCCGGCCACCCTCGGCCGTGGGTGGGGCGGCCTGTCCATATTTTATGGTGGGGTTAGGGGATTTTTATTACTTTAATGTTTATTAAGGGTGTTTTGTTGAAAAAAAAAAAATATAGAGGGTATGTTTGTAAATCCTACATCGTAATCCCCGCCTCTAATCAACTTTTTTTTAACTTTTTTCAAAAAACTTTCTCTAAAAACGTAAAAAAATGTAAACCAACGGAGCCTGAGGTTGGGATTTTCGCTTCCAACTGTATGAAAAATACCTTACCTCTCTATTATTTCATAAATCTCTCAAAACTCCATCCGTCATGTAACAGTAAAAACAATTGACAGACCTAATTACATAAAATTCTATGTTAGCACTGTAATCTTTTCAAAAAAAAAAAAAAAGAAAAAGGGCTAATATAAAATTGAGGGATGTGAGATCGGTTTAGGGACTACCTTTCAATTTACCTTATTCTGATTATTCAATTGAGACAAGATAATTTGATAAATATAAATTAACTTCTCTTAATATAAGTTTTAACCAATATCTTGAAACTCGACCCATCCAATGACTCGGCCAGGAGAACAGGTCATGGGTTGGTCGGTACACCCGGCCACGCAGCACAAAACAAAACCCTATTACTTATAAACCATGTGCTAGGGCTGATGCAAGTTCAAAGTTGGGTGAGGCAAATAGCATCAGACAGCTGGTGGGCGAGTTCAGGGAGAGGAGAAGGTCACAGGGAATGGCCAGGAAACACCATAACAAGCACAGCCACGCACCATGACAGAACAACATAGCCAGAGGAGAAGGAGGGTGAGATGTTTAGCTATAAAAATATCACATAAAACATGTAAAAATATTTATAAATATATTTTGGTTTTGAAGTAAAAGGTTAAATCTTATTTCAACAAAGGAGAGCTTATAGAAGACAAGGGAGATTTGAAGCAAAGAATTCACATCCATACACACTCCACCAAAACTCCTATCGCTTCTCTAAAACGTCTTTTTTTTTTCATGTTTCAACATCCCATACCAAACACTTGCTCGTTACATTTGCTCTTTCCACTAATCCACGGTTTTGAGTATTGATAGCTTTAGTTAGGGTTCATGTCAACACGGCCAATGCAGATGTGAAGCTGGAAGAAGATCGAAGGAAGTAGAATGAAATTGAGATGAAGGAGGAAAATAGAAATGGGTTTTAAATCATTTAGTTTAGGGATTGAATATTACACCGAATTTATTCTAGGCTGGTTGGACCGACGGTTTAATAATGCACGTCGATTTAATAGCGGGTAATAAATAAGTTCGAGTTTTTCTAGAGTAAAAGCTATTCCCACTCAAGGTTTGACAAAATCCAAGGTGGTACTACATGTTCCATTATTCTAGATCCACCATTAAAATATACTGTTAACATTTTTGGATAGTGAGGGTGCAATTACCTAATGCCTTTAACCCTAAATTAATAAAATTATATTTTAACCCCTAATACTAAATTATAAAACCATCTTATTTGAAAATACATCAATTACACCCTCAGTGATGGGATATCTCGGTTTTCACCAGATCGGGCTATTTCAATGCCGGGAAAACTCTGGTCACCTCCATCACTTCCCATCACCATCGTCCCAAAAACGCCTCTAGTTCCCGATCATTGGGCCCTCGATCGCCAGTGCCGTCAAGCTTAGGTGTTATACGTTCTTCACCGGATTTCGGTGATTCGGCGACGAAAATAATCAACGTCACCAATGCAACCAGCGTTCTAATCTAAAAAACCCCTATGTCCCAGCAACGTTTAGTGGCATCTTCACCGATGGACACCGACGAAAACCAGTGCGCATGTGGCGGCTGTCGTGGCGGAGATCGGCAGGGATAGAGGGGTTGTCAAGGGTATGGTTTTTTAGATGGGGGGATGGTGAGGTTTCGAATGATGGTGGACAGGGTGATTTGGGTGGAAGAACACAGAAAGAGCGAAAAAAACGACGGGACGATGTTGCCTACGTGCGCCGATTTTGTTTTTAAGGGCGGCGATTGCTGAATGTTGCGCCCTTCTGTGAAAATGCCAATTTGCCCCTGGCCGTTATATCTAACCATGTGTTCTTGTTACTTTAAGGGTTGAAAATCTAGAATAAATGGAAATGTGGTAACAACTTGGGATTCGTCAAACCTTGGGTGAGACACATGTCGTTATCTTTATTCTATGTAACTGGGGAAGCTGCGAAATTGGTCAAACCGGCCAGTCTGATCAGGTTTCAGAAACAATGGTTTCCAACGGCCTCTAACGTGGGAGGTTTTGTTATTTCACCACAACTTAAGGGAATTCTGTTAATATCAACTCAGGGGGTCTATAAAATTGTAATTTCACTATTTGAGGGTGCTCTTGGTTATTCAAAACAACAGGAGGTTTATTATATTAAGTCCCCTTCTATTTAATCTCCCCCAATTCACAGTTTTTCCAAACGAACAAACAAATCCATCGACCCCATATATTTTCAATCAAATTGTCTGAATAACAAAGAAAGAAGACACTTCTGCTAAACAGGTCAGATTTCGCTTCTGGGTTGGATCATCTTTCTCACTGGTATTTTTTTTCTTTTATTCATTCTTTTCTTGAATGTGTCTTTGTTGTTTTTAGTATAGTTAGCTGAATGGGATTTAGAAATTAGTTCTAATTGTAGATCTGTTTGGTGCTTGAAGATTTTAGGATTTTATGCTTAAATTGTACAGATTTTGAGCTATTTTGTTAAGTTTAGAGACAATTAATTTGATTTATTTCTCACCAACATCAAATTGAAAATTTTATCTTCATTATCATTTTGTTGCGTGAAAATTAGTATTTTGACAGAGTTGGGTAGTTATGATATCAAATCAATGTTTAGTTCCTAGAAAAACTGCTGGTGTAAATAATTCGTCTTATTACCATTTTGTTTTGAAATGGTTTTCTGGTCTCAAAGATTATAGGTTCTTGTGAGGTATAATTTGTAGGGTCAAACTTGAACTCGCTAAGCGGGTTCGGAGATTTCTTGGTAATTTCTGAAAATAAGAAAATCTGTGTAGATTTGTTGTCATTTCTTCCATGATACCATCTGTTACTCAAATTTGTCCAAAGAATGAACCTTTTAAAATTTTCATTGTTCTTTGTGATACTGAACAAAGTGTGAAACAAGATCAATTTTTTATCAGCCATCCGCAATTTCAGTCAACAAACGTTTTTCTTGTTATCTTATAGATCGAATATCTTGGCTTTGTCAATTTAGCGAGTCACGCCTATTTTAGTTTGATTCATATTGTGGATTCACATTTACAAATTTTTGTTTGTAGGTTAGAGAGCAATGAAACTGGGTTCAACGCAAGTCTATCTCTATATGTCACATTTGGACTTACATGTGGATTGGGGGGGAGCGTTATCTTTTCAGTATCCTCATTTTTGTCTCTTTAAGGATATATATGTTTATTCCCCCCTAATTTAGCCAAGCTATACATAGTTATATTAAATTTGCATGTGCTTTAGTTTTTATCATCCAATTTACTCAAAATGGATGAGATTTGCCTGCTCTTGTAGCAGTTTTTTGCTAATTCACTCATTTTTGATTTCCTAAACTTTGAGATATTTTGGTGATTGTGCTGATGTGGTTCATTTTACAATAGTTCGAGATGTGACTGAATTTTTCAAAAGGTAACTCTAATAATGTGTCTCTGCTTATATTTTATCAAAGATTGGGCATTTTTTGCACATTGACTTTCCAGAATCTAGTTAGTGTGTGAAAGTGCGAGAATCAGCTAGTTTTTGTTTATAGTTTGATATGCATAATTCCTTATATATTTTGTCTAGATTTGGTTAAATCAGTGCCATACTTATGATAGAACCAAACTAATGTGTGCGTTGTGGAGACTCAAAACTAAGATGCTTCACTTACTAATAATGCAACGATCTAGGGTTACATATTCGAACAAGTGAATTAATTTACAATCTCAATTTTTTTATCAGGACTAGCTAGGAAATTATCCATTGTTTACTAATGTCGTGCTATATTCTGTTAGTTATGATACATTTGGATGCCATTCAAATATGGTCTGAGCCTCTGGGACACAGCTGAGACAGTGACGGTTCTCTAATGTGATATCATAAGTTATCTTCCATGGTTTCATCACGAACATGCCATCCGGGTTTTAAGATTTGAATTTAGTTCAAATTTTAGGAGACGATACTGCATGATGAAATATGAAAATTAGTTTTATAGTTATTCTGTTGCTCTTTTAGAAAGAAAATTGCATAAGCAATAGGAAAATAATAATTTTATATGCCTTTAAATCACAAACCATTGAGCTTCCTCAGAATTAAATAGAGCATAATAATATAAGATGTCCTGTAAGAAATCCATTTGTTTAGTTTGCCGTTTCAAATATACCTTCGATTATTAGCTTAATTCTTCTCCATGATATAGGTACTGGGCTGAAGATGTTTAGCTCGCCGTCTACTTTATCATGAACTATGCTAACTGTTCAAAGTTTATGTGCATGATTTCTGTCCCTATTCTATCTTTTCTGTGTCATGCTAGTTCTTTTTTTTTCCCCTTTTTTCCTCTTCAGTGTTAATTTGATCATGTGGTTCAGCAAGAAAATTTATGTTGAATAATTGAATGTATTATGCTGCTTGTCATGGTGGTGTGTGAATTAAGTAATTGACGTACTTGAGGAGGCAAAGACTGGAAATGCGACTGTAATCTGATTTGATCTTGTAGGATTTAAGTTTCATGACCATGTTGAACTCGTTCTGCATAGTAATTTATACATACCCTTATATAAAGGAACAAAAACAGATAATGTGACTTTAGAGTCGGTTTGTGTCTTGTTTTCTATACCCATTTAAAACTTCGGAAGGTTTCCAGTCTGTCACTAACGAACCGTACATGAGCTACTAATTTTTTATTGCTGGTGCGTTTATTCTTAGCAACTCTATAATTATGGGTGACAAAATGTCTTCACCTTCACTTCTCATGCATTCTTTTCATTGTACTTCAGGCATTTAACATGAGTCTCAAATAGGTAGCTTGAAACTGTGGAATGGATGTGCAAGCACAAAATTTCAATAGCTCGATGGTGCCACATTGGATTTAATTAGGAACTTGTTTTTGCAAAAGCAATTGTGCATGTGTATTGATTGTATACACTCACCATAAGGATTTTTGTTGTAATTTATTACTTCTTGCCACCCTGTTTTTTTATTTTTTATTATTTTTATAATAAATTATCATAAGAATTTGAATTTGTTTTGTATTGAAAGTTTCAGTGGCAATCTTGATTAGCTTTTCTTATAAAACGTTGATAATCTTCCTCTGCAGAAGTTACCTCTCAAAGCATCTATGTTTAAGCTCTATCTTCAATGGAGAATTGGTGAATTTTTCTTATAGTAGGGTGTCTTTTGAGGAAAAAAAGAAAATTATTTATTGGGTCAGTATATTATGTGTAAGTTTTATTTTTAAGTAATCTAGGGAATTATTTTTAATGTTTTCATTTTTTATTGGTTAGATTTTAGTTTTGGGTTGTTAATCAAACAACGGTCGGACTTGCCGGTCTAGGCCGGGCTTTTTTTTTATTTCCCCAAAGTGCAGCTCGGTCTAGGAAAAAGCGGTGATTTTACAAAGCCTAGCCAGGATTGGCTTGTCTGGGTGTCGGTTTGGTTGATATGATGAGGTTTTAGAAATTCTACTGATAGGTGGGTAGAGTATAGAGTAATTATGGGGTTATCGTAAATTTATAGAGTTATGACATAATATGACAAAATCCCCTTGAGGTTTTGAAATAACATAAATCTCCTTGTTGTAAACTTTAGGTGGTAAAATAACGAGGATAATTTGATAATATTTATTAAGGGGAGAACGATATTTTTCCACCCAAGGTTTGGCGAAATGACAATTATCCACCCGTTACAGTTTAAAATGGACACTGTTCTCACCTTTGTCAGGTTTGCTGTTAAGGTTTTCAGTTAATATTTGCCCTAAAAAGATAAAAATACATCAACGAGTTGTTTTTTCATTAGAGTCTTATATCAATTAAAATTTAGTTAAGTCAAGCTTATTTTCGATTGTTATTAGTTAACAGTGTCAATATGTTTTTTTTTTCCTGTTGTTTATTTAATTAATTAAGATAGGATTTCTATGTAATAGTAAAAAATGAAAAAACATTATAAATTAGTAGATTATTGAATAATAATGAGAGCGATATTGATGATAGTATAAAAAATAAATATTAAGGTTTTTAACTTTAAACAAGTCCATCAGCATGTATTCTAATTTTAGTGGGGATTAATATTATTAGTATTATTGACTTTTTAATCATTTGATTTTTGGTCTAATTAAAAAAAAAATTATAAAGTCAAATATTTAAGGGTATTTTCATTCATTTATTCAGTAAACATAACAGGAAAACATAACAAACCTAACGAAGATAGGAAGAAAGTGTATTTGAAATTGAAAGGTGCGGAAATGTGTTTCACGTGCACTTGTGTGGGAAAACATGTCGTATTCCACTATTTATTAAACGATAACAATAAAATTGTAACAGTCCATTAATGGTAAACGCGTTTTTTGTTTTCACAATCTCAAGGGATTTTGTTTATTAAATTATAACTCATGAGAATGAATGTTAGTAACTCAATTTTATATTAGAAAGTACAAAAATGTAGTTTTTAGGGGGCTGATCTAGATCATTTTTAAGAAGATTTTGAAATTATATAGGAGGCATTTATAATTTTTTATAACCTCTTATAATACACACTGGGTCGGGTTTCTTAAATCCAATTAGTATCTATTAACAGCATCTATCTATTATTCCATGTATTTTTCTGAAAAAGTAAAATGAAATATAAAATGTCAACAATGTTCAATACAATTTTTAAAGCGTTATTGTAATATTCTTCTAAATAATTACAAAATTTGAAAAGCGTTAACGCATTTAAACACATATACCATATGGCACCAATGACATTCCAAAAACATTTATAATCCACTTTCCAGGAATGTAAGGTCAATAACTTCCATACTATTTGTGGATTCTATGCAATAAATATAAATAAATATGGAGTGATATATTTAAGCATCTCAAATGACTCTTATATAACCAAAACTATTATAAGAGTTATCCAAAAAGTAGAGCAAAACTATTTACTTTAAAATATAAATAGAGAGTGAGTTTGATCTTACATTTAGCGAGGCAAATTATTCTATCCAATTTTATTAATAAACTACAAATTAATGACATTTATTTATTATTCCCTCTCTATAAGTTTATTCTAAAAAAAATAGCATCTTCAAATTAAAGCTATAATTGATACAAAATGTGTTTTATATTTTAAAATTAATGAAGATACTCTTATTTATATGAAAGAGCTCTTCAAAATAAAGAGCACATTGGAGATGCTGCCCACAAATAATTTTGTTACATATTATCCTTTGATGAAATTACTAGAAAGTATTATATACTTCAAGTCGAAAAATACCACTCATAGGATTTTCTTGTAATTTATTT